GCCAAGGAGGAAGTGAAATGACTGACACAGCCTGAAGCCAATAACCTCTCAGACAGTCCCGCCCTTTGACTCCCTTCTCCCAGGCTTCTCCCTCCTCCCTTTTCCTCTTTCTCTCTCCCTTCCTTACTTTGGGGTTATTGGTCTTGTTTGCTCCCTTCCTGAGTCCAGGCCAGCAAAGATCTTCTTACACTGCCTGAGGGGGCAGCTCCACACTCAAAAACCCTCCCATGTCTGTCTCATCTTCCCCTGTACTGCACGAAACTCTGTTTCCTGACTTATTTTTTCCTTTGTAACACCTTTTCTCTTTGCAGTTTTAGCAGACACACCTCTGCCAGACTGCAGAATGGGACCACACCTACTGCAGAGTTGATTTGTGCAAAGTTGACAGTAAAATAGGGAACTTTCATGGCAAAGAGGGTGGTACTTTGCACACACCGGGATATACCATATGCTTAGAAAACATGCTGAGTTACTGCAATCATCAACATGACTGTGACTCTACACCATCAATCTTTTCTTTCAATGAGCACGGTTACATGCGCACAATAATCAGATAACTGTGAATAATCAGGTAATGGTAATAATCCAATTTGACGTGTTTACGTGTACTTCAATAATCTGATAATCAGAAAAACCTGGTTTACATGATTCAGTCCTTCAGTTGGATTTCTCCCCAAGTACATGACATAAAACTCAAACTTCCTGTTACAGTAGGTACTCATATCCTTGAAAAACCTTGAAAAGTACGCAAGTCATATATTTGCAAAATAAAGCACTCATCATGCTGACAGCTTATATTCTTACAGTACTGTTTGTTTTATCATTAACAAATACATGTGAGAGCATTCTAATGTGTAGTTTATCAATGTGGAGCCAATTTTACATACTTCGGGTAGATTCGGAGTAAAAGTACTGCAAAGTGCAATATACAAGTGTATTGTATATAAACTTGTCACACAAAGTGCATAACATATAAGTAAGATAAAATAAAAGTGACAATTTAAACACTGAGAATATAAAAATATATTATTTTGTGTAAAATCTTTATCTGAAAGGAAACAAAAGCTGTCAGATTAACGTAGTGGAGTAGAAAGTACAATATTTCCCTCTAAAATGTAGTGGAGTAGGAGTATAAAATAGCAAAACCCAAAAGAAACCAGATTAAAGGATATACATGCACCCAATAATCTGACTATTGGGGAAAAAGCTAGGTGTGTTTATCTGATTTCTCATAATCAGATAATGGCTTTTATCTGATAAAGCCTATCGGATTATGCTGTTTACATGACCACTTGAATAGTCAGGTAACTTCCAGAAATCAGATAATGATCAGTTTATTAGTGTGCGTGTAAACGCGCTCATTGAGAGCACGCAGATGAAAATACTGACTTATTACCTTGCACATGAACACCTCCCTGGATTGTAATGCTGAAACTCTCTAACCACATTAAGTTCATCATCTCACCTCCTCCCAAGGCCATCACATCATCCCTCTCTCTGTGCAGCTATTTTTCAATTTCCAATTCATTAAAGTAATTAACCACAGGCAACTGCGCTCTGCTGATGTGACAGGAGACATCTATAACTCAGCAGCTGCCAATAATGCGTGCTCGGATTCTGCTTTGGACCACAAGAGGGCGATGTTTGTTACAGATGGGTACTGGATAAGTCATTTTAAGGCAGAGATGAGGCCATAGGGCTGCTCTCGCTTGGTCTCATATAATGGACATGCAATATAAAACGAACACAATCCTGAGTAGTGTGATGACGTCACAGCATGTTTTTACAAATCTTATTTCCCCAGGTGCTTATATTATACAGCATTTTTGAAGATTTTATGGTGTGGTGAAGAAAAAAGTGGAAACAGACAACTCTTCAGCTCTCCTCTAGTGTTTCCAAGTGGATTATTGGCACCGCTGTCCCAAAGACAGACAGATTGCTTTCCATTTTACTCAGAACCCAACAACTACCAACAACACAGGACACTCTGCATTTTGTTTCTCTGCAGTTACTTCAGTGGTTCCACAGTCTGCCACTACTGTGGGTAGTGACTGCAAAGGTCTGATACTCTTTGGTAACTGGGGATAGCTGCCAATACCTACCAGGGGAAACAAAAGCGCTATCCATTCCCTGTTTTAAATGCTCAGTGGTTGACGCACTCCCTTTGTGTCGTAAATCCAGCTTTCATTTTCCCAGCAGATTGTGACAGTGAGGCTCTTAGGAAACCAATCTGAACGCTAATGCTGTCATTATTCTATAGCCATTAAATCAACCAACCAATATTGACTTCATAATGATGAGTTAGAGCAAAAAACATATCTATTTCCATGTGAAAGGTCCAGTGTGTAGGATTTAGGGACATCTATTGGCAGAAATGGTACATAATATTCATAGCTATGTTTTCATTAGTTTATAATCACCTGAAATTAAGAGTTGTTGTATTTTCATTACCTTAGAATGAGCCATTCATATGAGACTCCACCATGTTGTTCTACAGAAGCCCAGAATGGACAAACCAAACACTTGCTCAGTCTAGATAGTCATTTGTGTTTTCACGTCTGCTACTGTAGCTCCACAAACTTGGCATACAAGAGAAGTTTCAGTTCTGCATCCTCATTGGTAGATGCCACTAAATCCTACACACTGGACCTTTAAAGGGGAACCACATCTATTTACTCATCACTAGTTTACTCATCATGAAGACTCAGACTCAGACTACTCAGCCCATGAAAACAGCAAGAGGATGTTGGGTGTGAAAATTAATTCTTGACTTTGGAAAAAGTCATTTGACAGAAAAAAAAAGTCAAATGAACAATATTTGTATGGTCATAGATTTTGGAGTAGTGTTTTAGGAGTTTTGAAAAGGTAATCAAACTTTATTGTAGCAAAATCACACCAAACATGATTATTCAAAGCACCAAATTCCTTTCAAACAGAGATGATCTTTAGCTTATGACAACTGAGTAAACTCCTTTCGTTGTGAGATGTGGCTGAAAGCCATAGGGAAAAACTTGAGTCCGATTTTTTGGCTACACATGCTTGTCTTCTGTTCCCATGATGGACCTTTTATAAGCCTGAGAAAATGATCCTGATGATGCCATCAATGTTATCTTGGCTTGGGCTTGAGACTTACCTCTTTACAGGGATGTGAATAATGTCAGTGCTACCAAGCATGGAGGGTCCAATGAGAGATGCTATCAAATCGTGTTATGGGTAGTGTGACATGCAGCGTTGATGCACAAATTTTAACCATATAGTTCCAGTATGCAAGATTTAGGGGGATATATCAGCAGAGATGAAATATAATAAGTATGTTTTCATTAGTGTATAAACACCTGAAAATAAGAAATATTGTTTGAATGAGTCTTTTATATCTACATACAGAGCGGGTCTTCTCCTACAGAGTCCACCATGTTGTTTCTACAGTAGCCCAGAGCGGACAAACCAAATGCTGACTCTAGATAGGGCTGTGCATGTTCTTGCATCAGCCACCGTAATTCTCATACAGTCATTAAGATTTGATCAATACTACTACTTTTATCGGTACTCTTACCGGTTCTTTTTCATTTCTAAATAATTGCTTTTAGAAACTAAAATAACTTAGGAAGAATAAACTCACAGCAAGAGGGTTCCTGGTTCAAACCCAGAGTGGGGGGGGTTCGAACTCTAGGGTGGTCGAGCCCTTCTGTGTGGAGTTTGCATGTTCTCCCTGTGTCAGCCTGGGTTTTCTCAAGGTACTCCACCTTCTTCCCACAGTCCAAAGACATGCAGGTTAATTGGTGACTCCAAATTGTCTGTAGGTGTGAATGTGAGTGTGAATGGTTGTCTGCCTCTATGTGTCAGCCCTGTGACAGTCTGGCGACGTACAGTACCCCACCTTTCGCCCAGTGTCAGCTGGGATAGGCTCCAGGCCCCCGAGAAATCCTTACAGGATAAGCGGTTACAGAAAATGAATGAATGAATCAATGAATGTTATTTCTAGAGCAGCAACAGTATTTTTCACAACAGTAAAGTCACTATATAAATAATATTTCTGACATCACAGTACTGAGTGAAGTGTGGGCTATAGTTTTTATTGGTCACTATAAGTCATTCCTCCTGTCCTCTGTCCTGCTTCCTCTCTGCTGATGTGATTCACTGCGTGCTGGTAACATTACCGCTGGTAGAGAGAGGAGGAGCTGTTTGTTTCAGGGTTAGGGTTAGGGTTAGCCAGCAGCTTAGTTAAAAAGTATTTGCCCACTTTTAAGATGAGTAGCAAACCAAGCTAAATGTGCAGACTACATGCAGACAGCTGTCATTTTAGCATATTTGTAATAATTTACTATTAGCCAAACTAGCATGCTGTCCTTGTGTAAAACATAATGCTCGTGGCCGTGGATGAGAGACTGCGGGATGGGCAGAATGAAATATCACTGTACTGGCTTTTTACACGCGAATGTTTAATCACACTTAAAGTCACAAGCGTAGTTGCTGCCAACTTGAGTAAGTTATCTTCACTTTAGTTCCACTACAGCCTCTCTGACTTCACGTGGTTGTGTGTATGTGGAGGAGGTCAGCCCTGGCTCAGAGGGCAGGTGAGATGCAACAGGATGATAATGGCTTAAACCAAATTGTTTAAAAGTACAGATAAAAGACCCGATAATGTCGATGCTCATCAATTCTATGGTCTTTGACACGTTAGCCGTGGGGCTCGTTTAATACTGGGTTTCTGTACCCATCCCTAGCGTTAGAACATGGTAAAACTTTCAGTTGGTTGCAATCTGCTACCTCACCACTAGATGACACTAAATCCAACACACTAGACCTTTAACCTGTCTCTTAAGAGTTCCTCAACTAGATTGCCTGAGTGTGCTTTTATTAGTAATATCAGGATACTCCTACAGCATTTAGTTTTTCTTTCTTTTCAGACAGGTAAAGGACAATACTTCCATGTATCCAGTTGTTTTTGTAAGTGTTCTATCTGTTAGTAGATGGCAAGAAAGACAACAGAAACACAACTCTCAATTCACTGTACAAAATCTTCATTTTTTGTTTTTTTCTTCCTTAATGACATACAACAGGGGACCCGTAAACAAAAAGAGAAAGTCATTTGATACAAGCTAGAATGCAGTTCAAAAATATATAATAAAACAAAATTAATAAAAAGCAGGTCTCTTATCCCTTGTAGTTAGAGGAAATAGTTTGAATACAGCTTAATATGATGTACAAAATATCACACAGTGATAAATTGCTAATAAAAAAATAAAAACACAAAGAAATGAGAGTCCTTTACCTTGGCCTCTGACTGGTAACAGATTTTTTTTTAACTTATTTTTGACATTTTTCGTGTTTTTTAACCGTTTTGCTTTTTTACAAGTTATACATTGCCATTATCAATCACAAGCAAGTTCTATGCCTAGCAAGGAAGAATGATTCACTTATGATACTACAGTATTCTTACATCTCATTAATCATATTCATAATCAAAGAAAAGAAATGCAAGAAAGAAAACAAGGAAATGATGGACATTTACAGCACGTAATGGCATCTCTAGTCATCATTTACAACCTCTGTTTCGATTTCTTTTTTTTTCTTTTTTGATGTGTCATAGTGATTTGTCTTTATTCTCAGAGAGGGGGCGTAGTTGCTCAGAGTGAAAAGAAAGTTGGCCATCAGTAGCTCTCACTATCATATAACCGTGAGCCACAGCAGGTTCCGCCTTTGTAGTATTTACTCCAGATTGTATAAGAAATACCTGCAACACATTATTTCTGCACCCTGTGTGTAACCACTCCTCACCAGAAGCTCCCACTGTTAGATGTAGTGCAAAGTGGAGCCAAGTAGTAGTTAAATGTGACACCAGGACGTTATGTCCAGCAGCAGTACAATAATGTCCACAGTCCACCACCCTGTTTCAGGAAACAAAATATCTGAACTATAAATGCTAGTGTCCCCAGTGACAGGGAAAGGAGGGAAGTATTTACCTCCAGGATACTTTGAACCCTTAGATCTGACCTCCAACCCCTAGTGTGACCCTGTAATCTTTAAGAGGTGGAGGGTGCCCCTTAACCAACTGATTTAACACCAGATTCTATCAGTCTTCTCAAGGTAATGAGATAAAATGATTGGTCAGGTAATTTGAAGTCAGGTCATCTAAAGCAAACGTGTCCTGCAGGTATCAGTGTAAATGCACGACACAGACAGAGATAGATGTGAGGTGTCTCAAAGGAACGTTTCCAGCTAAGCCAAATGCTCTCGAGGTTACATTGAAAATAGGTTAGGTGCCGAGTCATGTTACGAATATTAACTGACACCCACACATCTTAAATCAATCGTTTTTTCCTTTCTGAAATGACAAAGTGGCTGAATTTTAAATGGACTTTTCTCCCAGCGCACCTCCTTTGAAAGAGGAGAGCAGCTTCACATCATTAGCTCTCTGGGTAATGTGCTACTGTGCAACTGATGCACATCAAAAACAAGATGAGGGGACCTCACCTCATCACACAACTGAAGGTAAATTCAAGCTTTATTTATTTTTTTATTTTTATTTTTTGAAAGCCTGAATAAATAACAAGCCAGAACCTAGCACCGCCTACAAACTGGCACCGACTCGATGAAATGAAAAAGACGATCCAAGCAGCTCTCATCTCAGGAAATCAGGAAAACGTTTTCAGTCCAAGTGGTCCTCACTGTAATAAAATTATCATCAGCTCTGTACACTCCTCAAGCCTGAAACGATCAAAGCCCGACATTATTCACATCCCTCTAATGAGAGACATTAACAGTGACCGCTAATTCTAAAATGTGACCACAGTTAATGAAATGATTCAACGATGAAATGTCATTTAAAAAGCAGATTCACTCCGTGGAGATCTGTAGCCCGATGAGCGAGAAACACAGTCTCTCTTTCTCACGCGTATACACACACACATACACACACAAAGCAGGTCCCTGATTCTGACTCAAGACTGACAAGGTCTTTCGTAGCACCGTGATTTAACTAGTGCATAAACAGACACACGCACGCACTCGTCTTCTGTACAGTAAAAAGCACCAAATGACACAATCCGCGTCATTTGTTGAGAGCATCCAGACTGGCCTCACCACCCCTGTTAAGTCCACGAACTTTAACTGCACTCTCATGATATCTATCTTTAGGTGGTTAATTTGGTGTTGGAGCATCAGTCTGCACAGTTCGAACTGTAACGTCTGTAAAAATGGACCATGATTGTGGAAATATGTTCATTTATCTTGTACAGCAGGGTGACATTGTATCTCACACACACACACACACACACACACAAGTAGAGGCAGAATCATGGGGACGCTATAATACTCAGACATACAGTGAGACTTGGTGTCTTGGCCGTAAAGTTGAAATTAAAGCTATTTGTTCAACACTGGTTAGCAACTGTCTAATGCCTCATCACATCACACAACTCACTTTTACATTCTCCAACCCCCGAATACGACACCACACACACTCTACCTGGAGTCTTTGGAATGTAATACATTAATTCCCAACGGAGGTTGGTCAGGTGAATTCTGCCGACACTGGGAAGGATAACTGTTTATAGTCATGCCTACATATCTATGTTAGCCACAAGCAAGTCATTAAAAAAAAAGATCCCAAATGAAATGCAGTGGTGCATCGTGTGCGCTGTGCAGTGCGAGCGTTCCCTCTGTGGTTTCTCGGTGAAGTGTGAGTAGTGTGTCAGCAGTTCAAGCGCACAAACGCACACACATGGTGGTTTGTAATAAGTGTTGGTAGAACGAACAAAAAAGCAGAACAGAATATTGTAGTGTAGAAAAAGTGTTACTCCAAATGTGATTATTCGAAAACGGAGCAGCCGGGATTTTATAAAAAAGCAGTGTGATTAGTATTACAAGAAGTCACTGAGGCATCAGAGGACAGTAAGGGATTGAAGGGAGGTGACGTCCTGTGGTGATGACCCAACCAGTGGGGTGCAGGACAGGTGTGAGAGTGTGTGTGTGTCTGTGTGTGTAAGCAGGTGAAATTTGTCCACTGTAGTCTTCAGTCTCTTTTGGCCCAGTTGTTTTTGTTGGACTCTAAAAGCAGAAAGAGTAAACACAGTTAGATAGTCGTTCAGAACTGTTCATGACACTGACATGAAAGACTCAATCTGACAATTCAGAGTTGTAAAAATCTAACAAGATCACATAAATGATAAAAAAGAAGCTATTCACTGAATCTAATTCTAATTTGGGGGTCATGTAATAATTGTAATAGTGATAATATAATGGGGAAAAGGTAAGCATTTAAAATTCCTAAATCGGTAAGATTTAAGCCTGAGGGGATCTAAAAAAAAATAGTTTTAAAGTCAATTTGTAAAGTTCAGCTGATCTAAAATAAATAGACTTTTTAAAGAATGTTTCAGAATAATCTAAATTTCTGTTAAAAGAGTAAATGTCTTGAGGTCCACTGCAAATTTAGGCCCTGTCTACACTGTCTATATTTTTTAAATTTAATATTTTCCTTTACATTTGGGCTTCCGTCCACACTCAAATTTTTAAGTTACTACAATGGAGATTCTTCCAAATGCCTTCTTAGGTACAGATTTTTGAAAACTCCAGTTAATTTTACCTATGTGGACATGTGTGCATGCCCATTGTTCCATTATTACCTCCGCCAAGGAGGTTATGTTTTTGCCGGCGTTGGTCTGTTTGTCTGCAAAATAACTTAAAAAGTCCTGAACGGATTTTGATGAAATTCAGGAAAGGTTGATAATGGGACAAGAAACAGATGATAAAATTTTGGTTGTGATCGGTTGAAGAGAAGTGGATGTGATCAGCATGAGCAAGAAAACAGCAACAACAACAACAGCTCACTACCAGTTTGTTTAGGTTTTTTTCAGCACTGCTAGGTCTACTGACTACTTCACATCTTAATTTAGTATAGCTGCATCACTTCACAGATGACCAGAGGCATCTCCTGCACCCAGTGTTATTTGATCTACCTCAACGTCTGCGGTATAAAGTTCTACAGAAACAACGGTTTGGGATCAGGAACAGTCAAACCAGCAGATGGTGGGACAATTTCTAGAATGGGATTGCTGTCGATGACTGAAAGGAAAACTTTTGCATGTCCAAAGCATCGGTCAATCTTTGAGTGTTTGACAAAGGTAGGATGCACACTTTGCTACCTTTGTGGTGAGGGGAGATTGTGGAAGACCGTAAGCGTCTGGAGTTGCTTTTGCGTTCTAGCGTGTGCGGAGATATTCTGAAAAATGAAAGCTGTGTGTAAAGAATTTTTTTTTTAAGTAAAAAATCTGTATACATCAGGGGCAATTGCTCTGAGACAACAAGGGAGGCTGAACTTCCCCTAAAATTTCGTAGAAGAAATGCTCAAATATGTACTATTGAATTTACATTAAAATAAGAATCTACACTGCATTAAACGTGCGTTAGGATGCATTTAACATCATGACTATGATGTTCAAACGTCAGCTGTTTATCACCAGTTTTCAAATGCGACCTCCCTGTCATACATTCTCGTGTCAGCATGGTGGATGCGGAGCCTCCAAGCATTCCTATGAGACAGCTCTGAGCAGGTTTTTCTGATACAGCAAAGTGAGACAGTCATTGGATAAATGCGACAAAATCGTCACTTCCAGGGAGGCTCAGCTTCCCTTGGACCTAATGGAGCGGTAGGCGGGAGAGGATGCTCGGTGTATGCATGATGACTGGAGGAATTGTCTAAAAGGCTGAACCCCTTTGTGACTGACAGCGCTTTGGAAATACACACAGGCATGGTCGCATTTCGAGCTCAGTCCCATGCAGATATTTGCGAGTGGAGTCAAGACACAGATTTTAAACATGAGTGGTCAAAAGAGAAGCATCAGAGGCTGAGATATCCCCACTTTAAGTTCTTAGTTCTACAGTATCCCATAATGCAGCTCTGTAGTCTTTCATTCAACCCCTCACTGCCTGTTAAACATCCCTCCATCAAACTCCACACCCCCAGTTTGTAAAACAGGCTTTCTGTTAAATATTTTAAATCACCCCTTGTCTCACCAAAATGACAACAGCGCTGTCAGACAAAGATCTTGGCAAGTGCATCTGCCCCAGCGCTGGCGATGAAGGGCTGCGAAGAGTGGAAGGCCACGTCATGGATGGCCTCGTCGTGCTTCTTCCTGTGAGCCGTGATCTCCTGCACGCACGTCCTGTTGTCCAGCATCCACAGGCGCACCGAGCAGTCGTGGCCTGCAGGGGGCGGAGAGCGGGCGGAAACAAAGACAGCAGTGTTATGCGGGGCAAAGATCACTGCGGAGCGTAAGGGAATCCTTTAGATTGTTTTACAAGATAGGCGTAATGCACGGCTTCTTCTGAAAGGCTGTGTAATTTTTAGCCTGGACTTCAGACTGTACAGCGGCTTTGTGACTGTTTCATTCTGTCTAAACATGAGTTTGATGGTGTGTAACTAACCACTGACAATTTGTTTTATCATTCTAAAATTGACATTACCTATTAATTAACTCCTAAACAAATTCCTCCTTGTGTACAGAATAGATGAAACTGAAACTCAAACCTCTCTTTGGGTACAATGATATATAAAAACAGATTATGCACAAGAATTAGATCATAGTTTACAGTATTTTTTAAAATGATAGAGACTGTCTTTACTCCAGAGGAAACCCTAATCTGAGACGTTCGGCTAAATAAGGGCACAGTGAAGCTGAGTAGTACTCACTGCCGGAGATGAGGTAAGTGCCTTTAGGGTCTGTAGTGAGACAGGTGACCGCATCCAAGTGAGCCACCATTGAGTGGACAACTTTACCTGCACACACACACACACACACACACACACACAAAGCAATCGTTTGTAGATGCATTCAAACAGAGAAAATTAACCGATGACAAATAAAAGACCTCTTGCAGATACCTGTCTTGTTGTCTAGGAACCGAATGGTGCGGTTCTCATGTGCAGTGATGGAGACGGGCTCAGATGGGTGACTGACCACACGGTTGATCAGCTCACTGCCTGCAAAGACAGACAAACAACTCCATTTGAATCCAACTGTTGTATCTGCTCATTATTTTCAACTGATCTCAGAGTGGGTGATATTACTCGTTAGCTGTCACAAATAAGGTCCACAACATACCATCCTTGGTCTGTGTCTCTAGTGCCGTGACGCTCTGCTCCGTGTTGAGGTCGTAGAGAAGCGTCTCACCGGCGTCAAACGACACCACCACCTGGTTGGGGTCAGTGGCCACAAAGGCTACAGAGGTGGGCGTTCCGTGCTCTGGCAGAAGACAGGAAGTTTTGAGGCACGGATGCAATATAAAAGCTCAAAAAGCACATGTAAGGACTCGACAAAGACGCCTACCTCTCTCCTTATTGAAGACAGACAGGCAGGGAGACGAGTTCTGAGGGTCCCAGATGCGAATGGTGCCATCAGCTGAGCATGAGGCGAGCCGGTGGTGCACTGCCGAGTAAGTCAGACCCCACACACTGTCCTCGTGGCCTGCTAGTACGCTGCTCTCGATGCCAGGATCTGGATGAATAAAAGCACATGTTAAAAAAAGGGATACACCTCTAAATTGGAATATAATTATTATAACTCAGCAGGCGAGGACTCACCGTAGTTATCATAAGGATCAACATTGAGGTCAGGCATCTTCCAACATCTGACGGTTCCATCTAGACCTCCGCTGTAGCAGGATTCTCCCTCTTCACCCATGGTTAGTGACAGAACAGCTCCACTAGACACAAAGAGAGAGGCATTAGTTTTCACACTGCATCTGAGTCAGTCTGTGGCAGGTTTGCGCACAAGAATTTCAACTCACCTGTGTGCTCTAAATGTGTAGATGGGCTCAACATCCAACGCTGCGTTCCTGTGGATGGACACATGCTGTTAAATTTGCTTCTAAGTTTTGTTTGCTGTGTTTGAGTTTACATTTGTAAGTTATCTGTCCTTCTACTGTTTAGAAAAGGCTTTGGAGTGAGCTACGAGTATAAAAAATTACTGTATGAATGTATTTCTTGTCCCTCACTCCCTGTGGATCTAAGTGTTCTTACTTTTTAGAGTGCATGGCCTTGTTGAGGTTCCACAGTTTTAGTGTCCCGTCCTCAGAGGCAGTGAGCAGCACCGCCTGGCTGGGGTGAAAGGTCAAAGCGCGGATGGCATCAAAGTGGCTGCGTAGTGTAAAACGAGGGTTCCATGTCTTCTTAAACTCCTCTCTGTTATCCTGCATCTGACAGGACACGCATTAAAAAAGAAAAAGAGTCAGCATTCACATATTTTCACACAGGTTGGATCACACCCAGCCCAGAACGAATGTGTAATTACATCCATGGAGAGATCGTTGTCATTGGCGACGGTGAGATCAGCCAGTTCACCCAGGTTCATGTCCCCTCCTCCGACGGCATCCATGATGAAGACGTCAGAGGAAAAACCCAGGGCACCACCTGCAGGTCGGAGGTGGAAAAGCACAAGTTATGACAAAACATCACGGCCCTATTAATACAAGCTGAAATGAGGAGAATGGAAAACATAGCAGTGGATCTTAGATCTCCCTGGCAAGAGTCCATTCATCTTGTTTCCTCACTCCCACACTGTGTACCAGAGGAAATATTTATAGGTGCAGGAACAGTTTTGTAAGTTTACCCCTACGCAGGTTTTAAAATTGAACAAAACTGAGACAGCATCTAAATTTGTGATGCAACGTCTAAGCTACAATCATGCGTGTGGGATAGTAGGTGGTAGTAGAGGATGATCTACGGTTTTCTGTGGGGCAGTCTTACCTTCTCCGGAGCGAGCCTGTCCTGGTACAGTGGGGGGCGGGGTAGGTTTAGGGGGGAAGTCCGACATCATGCCTTGTAACTTGTTCCTGCGGTTCTCTGAACCCGGCAAGAGGAGAGAGACACAAAACATCCAGTCATGCAGAGAGGCGGAGGACAGACGGAGAGGCCAGCAGATGGACAGATGAGACAAAACGAATGTAGACAAAAAGATAAGACTTCATTCTTTACAATACAAAACATCAAATTTTAAAGATTCTTTGCGTGAGAGGATGAAATAGATAAAAGCACAGGGTTACAGTGTAAATGTGGCTCAAAGAGTGAAATGTGGACATACAGAAAGAGAAGGCAGCATGCGTGATAACCTTGGAAGTGACCCTGCACCGTAGTAATTACATCTACAGACAGAGGTGACAGCTACACAGCTCTAAGGAGTCACAGACTGACAGCTTGTGAAACAGGACAGAGAGACAGGTGGTTGGGAAAAGAGGTTGGTTTTATTGACAAGAAGAGATGCCAAGACACAATGAGAAGTAAAAGATAAAAAGGTGAGCAGGGAGGAAGTGGGGGTGGGTGTTGGGGTCGGGTGAGGGGGCAAAAAAGACAGATACACTGGTGGCAGTGATTCTGGCAGTGCTGATGCTGATGGTGTTGCTATGGCAACAGCGTACCTAACTCCCGTCCGTCCCCCGAGATCCGGGCCTCTCCCGCCCCCTCCCCATCCTCCCCCGAGCCCAGGAAGTCAAATTCACTGAGGGCGTCTTCCGAGTCGTCTTCGTCCTCCTCGTCCTCCGGGTCCAGGTCTGTGGTCATGGGCTCTGAACCCATCTGGACAGGAGAGCAGAGAAAAAGGGATAGTTACGCCATTAGTCATTAAGAAAACTCACAGTTTATAGTTCCTGTTTAGTCGCTCAATGTCTAATCACTGGTCGCACCTTTACACGAGACTTCTTGTTCTTGCGCGGTCCATCGATGCAGTCAGTGGCCATGCCTTGGAAGTCATCTTCCTCGTCGCTGTCGTCCTCATCGTCGTCCTCGCAGCCATGCAGGAAGGGGATCTTATCGAGCACCGAGCCGCCCAGACGTTCCTTCGAGCTTTCCTTGCCCGCGTTCCTACAAATGCACACATGGTTATTCCCTCCATGCCAAGTTATGAAAGACAAAGACATTATTTAGGACATTACTTGCAGAGACAGGATGACCCCAATTATACTTATATAATCCCATATTATACATTTTGGCCACAGCAAGTACAGCTTTTGGATTTTCTTTATCTTAACAAGGTTTTACAAGTGCAACAACTAAGAGTTTTTTCTATGATTTTTTTTTTTTTTACTAAGATACTTCCACTCACAGATTTAATCTTTACATTGCAAGATACCTGTCTGATATGTACATATATTTTCTGTGCAATTGACCCTTCGATAAGTCCCGCCGCTGGACGCGTACTGGCCAACCAGGATCCGACACGAACACAGCTGTGCTCCATTGACTCTAATGCAATCGTTTCAGACTTCCTTCATTTTCAGGCTGGTTTTGTGGATTTGGAGCTAAATGTTGTGCCTGGGGCACGTCGTGTATTAATGATACTCGTTCCCTGGAGAGGTTGGAAAAAGATATACGTTTCCTCCCTGTTCCAAAACCAAAATCAAACCCTGAAAAGTGTAGGGTTAGCTAGCTAGCTACTGAAGATATAACCTACTGAATGTTGAACACATGCTGCTTTTGCTTTTTAATGATTATAAAAAAAAAACAACCCTGCTGTATAGGAACTAGTGAAGTGACATCTGCACACACTGTGATGCCACACAGCTGGTTCAATATCAGCAAAGTTTCCCTTTATATTCATTGTCTTCTGTGGCGATCAGCAGTGATGTGGTGGTTCACTTTTACACTGTGATCTGTAGCCTATAGTTGGGCTTTAGCTTCTAACTATCTTTGTCTTTTTAACCTGTTGTTGCTGCTGAGTCAGTTTGACATCCTGGATATATCCTTCAAACACAGACTGTAGACCCCTCTGTCTGCTTCCCTCTGGAATCACTGTTTCATTTCTCCCAAAAGCAAGATAAGATTTTCTTTCAGTGTGGGCTCCATGCTTACTCCAACAGCTTGTCGGACCATCACAAAGGGGCGGGGCTTAACGAAAGATCAATTAAAATCTTACTAGATGTCTGCTTTTTTTTTTTTTTTTAATTATCTTACCATGTTCTCATGATGGAGGATGCCCTCCGTTTTAGACATCTTTCCTGTGTCTTGTTCTGTTGGCTTTTGAGATTAGGAAGTGCTATTGTTTCACTGTCTTTACATTTCTGCTACAGACAAATGCTACTCACAAAGCAACCTCATGATACAATGACAAACTTTCTTGTGTTACGACTGCAGTGAGTTCAGCCCAGTTTAGACCAAAGACTCATGACGAGACGAAACCATTTTAAAATGCTGCAGAGAAGTAGCAGCAGTGTGAACTGGCCGGTGAGCTGATGGTGTCACCTGCGACTCAGCTTGTCAAGTCACCAGCGGCTGGTTTTTAGAACAATTGGCACGTCGCCTGTTTCAACAGCAACATACTTGTAGCGAAGTTAGCTGAATCAAACTGTTCAAACATCCTGTGCACGTCACACTCATTAACTCATTAACTGGCACTAGTAATTTAAATTATTGTGGCATATTTATTATGAATATAGTCCACCTGAGGCTCAGATGGTTTTGCATTTGTTTTCACTGTTTCATTATTACTAGAGGTGCAACTGTAACCAAGTATCTCACTCTCACTATCTTCACTCCTTTTTAAGAAGCTATAAAATGATATTCAGCAACAAAATAAGCTTTAAAAGTTGGAAATTTTGTTGCTATAGAGACAATACAACATCTCGTCTCGTTGCACTGGTATAAACTGGCAGGTTTTCAGAACGTCACAGACCGGCACATTGTGAGCAGTTACAAGTTTCAACTCGTCTCATCACAATGTTTGGTCTAAACTGAACTTAGGAAGTCCTGTCAATATCTTAACTATGCTTTAGTCATCTGCACATTTTCTGTCCTGTAAATCCATTACGTGTTTCTAGTGTAGCACAGTTTATAACAACATTGCACTTAGTAATACACAGGCCGAGTCAAATTCTACTCACTGCACTGAAATACCCCAATTCAACATACCATAATATTTTATGTCTGTGAATAGATAATCAGATAATGGTGTGACGTGTAAATAAAGGGTCTATAAGGGGTGCTGCAAGACTGAAGGCCTATGGTATCAATATCTGCTAAAAGGAGTTTGACAACAAGTGCATGGACATTATATGTTGATTAGGTGGAAAATGTGTGCAGTTTTTTAGCGCTAGTATGGAAAGATCATACTTGTTGAGTAATTTAATGAAGAGGAGAAAAACAAACACTCATATGAAGCGTCATGATTTGGGCCTCTCATCTACTCTGATCAGTGGAGCAACAGCAGAGAGAAAGAAAGCATGTCTGCCTCCACAGTCTCACCTCTTGATCTGTTCCTCTATCTGTCTGACCAACAATGACTCTCCACCTGCCCGGGGCTCAGGCTCGGGACAGGTTTCACTGGGTGGAGGCCCGTTAGCCTCGGGGCTGCTCCGCCCAAGCAGGGAGCGCACACGCTTAGACCGCATGTCCAGGATAGTGTCTGAATAACCCACTTCCTCGAGATATCTATATTCACAGGGAAGAGCACACAGAAATATTCACACACAGCCGTATAAATCAATCCCTCTTGTCTAAGTCACAAGTTTTTAATGATAAAGTGCTGATGGAACACATTAGTATGGTGCGAAGATAAAAAGGAGCTGATGACGGAGAGGGCTTACTTGCGTAGTAGCTGACGTCCCTCCTTCCAGGACATCTGATTGGCTGGCTCAGAGTCTGACTCAGCCGGCCCATTGGGAACTACAGAAAATAGATTGGTCAATAGTGATGCAACAGCGAGGCATGAGCAAGAAAAGAGAAGAGCAGAAACTTTGAGTTGCTCTGAAAGCAAAGCAGCAGTGACAGAGTGTATGAAAGCTTGGTTAGACATACGTTGGTCTGCCTCTGTCTCTGGTTTCTTGTCTCCGGGACTCTGGTCGTTCCCCGTCTTCAGCTTCTGGTGCTTAGCCCTGCAACCCCACAAAACACCACATGATGGAAGCATTACAAGCAAATATAGGAAAAGCTTTCACTATCACATCACTATGCCTAAAGCACGCAAAACAATATGACAGCAGGCTGAGTGGAGAACAGACAGGAGGACACAGGAAGAGAAAGAAGGCATTTGTCTTACCTCTCTTGTTTGAGAGCATACTCCAGCATTTTGATCCGCCTCACCAGGTCCTGTTTCATATTCTCCTGCCCTTTCCTCTCACCCTGTAGGAACGCCACCTGAGCCTGAAACACACACATACAGGATGGTAAGGAACACAAAGTACCTTCAAAAAAAGGAACACACACACACACAGCAAAGATTCACAAACACACATTATTGCAAAATCAATTTATATTGACACCATAACTGCAGTGGATGAAAAAGGTATTAACGGTCTCCATTAAAACGAGAACTGCATTTGATATCAACAGTGATCACAAGCGGAGACTGTGAAGGGGAAAAAGTTCGATGTGACGAGCATAACAAACATGACTTCTGAGAACCCAGAGGAATAAGTAGAGGGTTGTGGAACAGGGCTCTTATTTTTAACTTCTCCTAACCGAGGGCCTCAGTGCGCATCTGCAGAGGAGGAAAAACAAGACACACACCAGCCAAATTCAAATACCCTCTTTTAAGACACATCCTTCCTTTGTGTGCTTCCCCTCTCAGTTTCCGCTCGTTTCCTTCCTCACTGAGCTGATAAAATTCTTACCTTGAGGAAATAGATGCTCGCTGCCCGTTCTCGCCATATGGCGAACAATTAAAGGGTTTCGTGAGAGGAAGAGAAAACGTGATAATGAGAGAATGCAGGATGATGATGCTGTCGACATTTGACGAGCACTATCTTTAGACAAGGTCTTCCCTTGGGTAAGGCATCATATGACAAGACTTGAGAAAGATGTGTTATGGCTGGCAGAGTGGATGAAAATGATTTATGACATTTATAACATGCTGTATTTTGATTCAGGTGATGCATCGCAGTGGGTCAAACTGTGGTTTACACCAGACAATAAAAACCCTGCCCTCTATTGGCTGGAGGAGAAAAATGCCCTAGTGAAAAAACAAACAGTGATCCCACTTAGTAGTTAGTTAAAAAGGCCTGCCCCTGTTTCGCTCTCTGGATTTGCATGCAGGTGACGGTAGGCACAATAGTTTGGCATTTTCACCCTCTCCCTGTCCTCTCTCTCTCTCTATTTCTGCTGTGCCAAGCGGTGCTGGAGCATTAATACCGATTGTTTTACAGTCCATTTCTCCTCTGCACGTCCCTGTGTGTGTGTCCACAAGTCGGCTCCCACACGCATACGCAGTTCTGTAAAACTAGAACAGTCTAAAAACACTATCTCATGGGGCAGGCACTCGGTCTACTTGAGAGGGTAGTCAATCACCCGGGAAAGTGTGCACACACACTTACACACGCATGCACACACACACACACGGTCATGTAACCAGCTAGGAGGGCGAGTGGAACACAGGATAATCTGCCAAGCAAACCTTACTACTGCTGCTGCTGAGTAATCCTGATTAATGCAATGTGATTTTGAACGCTTATCGGAGAGTTTTGGAGATAATTGTCAAAGCTAGCATGTCAACACTGCAGGCATGATCTAAGAGGTTGTGGAATACGAATAACTTTATGTAGTTTATACTTTTGGAGCAGCTCAGCCTCTAAAATAAGTAAAATAACAAATCAATTAGCAGTGTTTCTGTATGTGGAGCACTGACAGGATAGGGTGAAAAGCAATGCATTCATTTAACAAGCCAGGAGGACCAGTGAAACATAAATTTGTATGAACAGCTATGTAATAACATATCATTTGTGGTTATGTGGTTGATAGAAACAGCTAGCACAGGGTTAGCTGCAGAAGCTACTTAGCATTTTCAGCCGCACACAAGTAATTGTGTCGTCGCCGTGTTTTGTGATGTTAAATGTGATACTGCGTTTGCATTTTTCACACAAGCAGAAACTCTTGCTGTGTGTGGGACATAATCAGACGTAAATACTTACATGCTAAAACACAAGCCAAGCAGAGCTCAGCTGTGTCGCTAGCTGGGCAGTGTCACACTGTGGGAGGTTTAGATAACAGATAGCAGCATGTACATATATACTGGGCACTATAAATGGTGGGAAACAGATGGAGCGCAACTTAAATCCCAGCTCACATTAAGATATTCTAAGTGAAATGGCAAATTATTTGTGTCTGTCAATGAAGGTAACAAGCTTGGCTTGGCATCCACAATAATGAGAGAGAGCTTTAAAATACTGTGATGTGCTGTGGGTCAAGTGGAGACAACTTGGCTAAAATCTGTCGAATTCAGGAGGGACCAGAGTGGAGTCTGAGGCAAATAAACAAATCTCGAACACAGAATCCTCAGTGTACTGACTCGGCTGCTTCTCGATGCATGAAAACACCATTGTCAGCTCAGCATTGATACACAGTCTAGTTTAAAACTAGATGTCACACCATGAACTAAAATAATGGTGTGACAACTAGCTGCAGAGAGATGGATGCTGAGCTCTTGACTTTGTAAACAGTTTTTATGTAGGCCTTGGGCTGGGTACCTTTAAGGTATCGACTGAAATAACAGTACCACGTACTATCAAAACTTCTCTAGTCAAACAGTGCCTGCATTCAACTCCTTTTGTACCTATATGTAGATCTAGAATACCATTTGTATGGTTTTGCTCACAGCCAATATTTGTCGAAGTTGGTAGTTGGCATACTACACATCTGTGGCGTCTGTACCATGTCAAGCAACTGAATGCTTCCACTCACATGATCGACACAGGATCAAGTAGAACTATAGGTATCAAATTGAAGTACTTGTTAACACAGCCCTATGTAGGCCTAATATGTACTGAACTGAACAAAAGAGCTTGAACCAACAGCAGCTTGCTGAAAACAGTCACAGTAACATCGTCCTAGTATGAACACTGATGCAACTGCTTGGCTCAAACAAAAAAACAAAGTAGATAGTCAGTGAATCTTTTAACTATATATTCGAATCAGCAAAATGCTTTGTAATTTCCACCTCTGAAAGGAATGTGTAGTTCATCCTTTGGGGGCAGGGCACGTGTTTCTACTCCTACTCACGCACACAGACGAGCTACAACCTGCTCACACGCTGAGATAACCATCACACCCCTGTGCACCGGTGTCACACTGTGCTCCTAAAAGGACAGGTTCCCAGCGCTGTCCGAAACCTTAAATCCCTGACGCTGCTTTATTGGCCCAAGATAGAGCCAAGGCTGCATGTGGACACACACACACACACACACACACACACACACACACACACACACACACTAAGGTAGCCAAAATAGTCAGATTAGTGTGTAAAAGGGTTAACTGCTGTATGTCATTCTGGATCTATGACTTAACCACTCATTCTTTGACTCTGACCTGGTTTTACTTGCTCATTATTTGGGTAATGGGGGTCAGTGGGTAAAATATGATGTTAGAGAGGATTAATTTACCTCAGCACACACTGGCTGTTATAGAGACAAGAACAAAAATGCAGCTTTCAATAGATTAGCTTGTCTGTAACATAAGATCCCAAAAGCTCCTATTAAGATGCGTGAATACTTTAACATGAAAAACAAATCTACTATTATAATACACATTGTTTAGGTTTGACTTGTCTCTGTTATTCTGGCCTTTGTCTGGTTCAAACTGGGACTTGCTTGTCTTTACTCGTGTGTGGGACCCAGCCAAAATAAGTGAGACAAGGCAGTCCATTCATCAGCTATTAAAAAGGTGTTAACACTTCAAATTAGAGCCAAAATAAAGCAGCAGGTCAACAGACATCACAGCATTCATAAAGAAAGTTATACTATTTTTCCATTTGATAACACCCTGCTAACACCGACACTGACCTTATTTTCTTTGTATCATGTTGGTCAACTAACAAAGTACAAAGGAACGAGCGAACCTGTCGTGCCATCTGATCTCTCTTTCCTGTGGGTGGTTGGGTTTTCCTCCATGTGGCCAGCTGCTGCTGACCTTTCCAGGGTTTGCTGTAGCATGGTGAAGTGACACATTTAGCCTTTTCTGTCAGTGTGCCTCTACAAGCTGCAGAACAGGGTCAAGGGCAGCTTTCCTCTTCCACTAGCCACCCTCCATCTTCTCATCCCCTCATCCCCATGGGAGAATCCATGAGCCAACAAGTAGAGCAATGAACTTTTCTGGGACAGTGCGCTTTGATGGAGCGTGTCAGAGTGCGTTGAGTGTGTGTGTGTGCGGGAGGTATTTAGCTGGAGGATGGCATCCTAAAAAGTTGGGCTTGCTGCCTAAGTTTGATTAGGAGATGTTTGGTGTGCAATGGGAAGCAAAAATACTGCATGTCATCCTTTCAAAAGAGAGGGAAGCACATCAAGTCATTAGATTTTTAGGATTTAAAGGGAAGAGCTGAGATGGAAACTGAGAAACACGACAAAAAGAAAGGTCAGATCACACACAGAACAGGACTGCTGCAAGTGTTTGTATGTGGGAGGCACACACTGTAATAATGCAGTACATATGGATGTCATATGTGTGTCATGGCTGAGAGCGCAGAGCTATTAATTAGAGATGTGTACCCAGGGGCCCCCTAGGCCACACTCAACAGGAAGTGATGTCATTTGGGTCACCAGTAATCTATTCTACACAACTACTGACACTGTTAATAAAATTAAAAGGCTGAAAATGAGAATAACTCAAAGAGGGACGGGTAAAGGTCTGCCCTTTTCCCTGTGGAGTGATAGTAGTGACTGGGTTCGATGTCGGCTGCTCAGCGTGTTTGTCAATTAAATTATAATGAGGACCAGGCGAATACAAGCTTGTTCGCAGTGCAGTAGTAGTGTAATTTGAAACAATACACTGGCAAAAGCTTCTTGTGTGTCTGAAGGACAGAGAGACAAGGCCAGCGCCACCTGCCCCCCATGGTCACGCTGGGACGCCCCACCTGGCCCAGAGCGGGGAGGGCCGTCGTTCCTGGCTTGTCACTGGAGACACAATACCACAGGTGCCTTTCACACCAAAAACACACTCACAGAGGCAGCATGTGTTACAGTCTCGCAGATACACACTGCGCTGCAAACACAGAGTCACATAATCGCAACATGATAGTGCTGATCTCAAATATTGTTGATGGTTTTGCTGCTGCTGGCATCTTAGATTTTACATGCAGCTTCCTTGCTAGCTTTACGAATGTCAGAACAAAATGCCATGTGTAGTCAACATGTACAGTATGGTGCTAACGACACAGGACGTGACCGAGGGGGGAGCATGCTTACTGGCATGTTGAGAGCCCCGCCAGCAAATTGGCAACAAAAGCCAGAGGCCTGTGGCCTGTGGGTGTTAAAATGTAAGCTAGGTCAATATTTCAGCCTGGCACTCCAGCTATCCTCTCTTTCTCTCAGCACAGGCCGTAGTACTAATTGTACCCGTGAAACCAGACCATGTGCAGCAAATACTCAAACAAAGTTCCATAACAAGCACTAATGGCGTGTTGGACATAGAGATGGCCCACTTCTGCCTTCCCTTCCCACTCCTCCCCGCACACGACTATAAAGGCAGCGAGCACAACCAGTTTGTTATTGTTCATCCATATTTTATCGCGGCTCCTATTTATAACTACGTAGGTTTGAGTCGGGGGCAACGTGGGAAGCACTGTGACAGAGTAGAGGCGATGATGTGTTTTTTTTCTGTGTTTTCTGTGTCAAGCTCATGAACTCCGGAAGACAGTTCATCCTAATTACAAGTGTGGTTACAGGAGGAAGGCCCACTTATGTTTAGGAATGAAAAGATGAACTGTTCATCCCTTCGTTCCAAACGCAGAGCGAAAACATGGGTGAATGTGTGTATGTTTTCCTAACCTGGAACAATCTGATGAGTAAGCACAATCTTGCCCAGCAATGCTATGCTAAACGCACACATGTAGGAAATGTTGCACAGTGCAACCTCTGTCTCCTGCTGTCAGTCTCTGAATAACTGGGACCATTAGGGGACGCATGCCTTGCTCAAGGGCATTGCAACAGAAATGACATTTTTCTTGCCATTTCATCAACTCAAACTGATGACCTTTAAGGACACAAGCTCACTTCTCTAATCTGAGGGAGGAACACACATGAAATATGTGTTTGTAAGTGGCAAGTTTAGTCGTAGATAGGATCGTACGTGACTGATGATGATCTAAGGGGCTCAATAGAGCATGAGGAAACTGACAATTACACTACAAATACACCAATAACTAATCTATACGACAGTCCTCAATTCAAAATGTGGATTTGGTTCAATGCTGACAGATTATTATCCACTGTCTTTAAGATTATACCTCTGAGGACATGTTGCAGCAAAATATTTAATACAAAAACTGCAGTATGGTTTGCAAGGTAAGAGTGAAAGCCTTCGTTCAAAGGTCACCCTGGTCACTTTCTCTCACCGTGCCATCTGCCTGGCGAATAAAAATAAAATTTAACATCTCCTATGTAGTATATATTAACTATTCCTTATTTTAATAGGGGTTTTCTTTGTGCAAGGACACCACTTTGACAGCTGATGCTCAAATTATCATGATTATTAAAAGCAGTGATTTCAAAGGGTAGCCACAACTTGGTGACACTGTCATAACCTGTTAACCTCAAAAATACAGCCACAGATCACTTAATCTGTCCCTGTAGGATATGAAAACCCAATAATGGTCGACATACTCAACAAACTATGTGGCCACTTAAATACCAAAATACAGTCCATCCTAAGAGGAGTCTGATACAGGCATGCTTTTGATGTGCACCTGCAAGAAGACAGTGCAAGGTAGCCACACCTAGCCTCTGTTTACCTACCTTTGTTATTTGCAGGATAGCTTGCTTGCTTTCGGCTGACATATGCTGACCTTTAACATGTAGCTTTGTGATGTGTATATCTGTAGTATATATATATATATATATATATATATAACTGGTCATTTAAAGGCCAAAAATGCTGTTTATTGTATGTTTAAAGCCTACAGGGGGGTGTTTGGCTTTATGTGATGATCAGCTGGAGGTCATGGAGTCCCTTCATTGTCTTATACTGTCTAGTAATAACACATCCTGGGCAATACAATATGATAGGGTGTAATGTTAGCCCGTTAGCATTTTGGCAACCCGAAATTGATTGTTGGGCATGTGTGCTGTCACAAAGCCACTGTAACAGAGCTCCTGCAATATCCGCTCTGGCCTTTCTTTGGCGTTAACGTTACAGACGCATGTTAAATGATAAACAAATTTACCCTGAGTTCGTCTCTCTCAGCCTCCCAGCGGTATTTCTCGGCCTGGAAGCGTCCCCACTCGTACTGGATGAAGTGCAGGATCCCAGGAAGCGTCATACCCGAGTCCCCGTCCTGTAGCTCCCGAGCCTGCGACGATCCGGGCATGGCCCCGGCTGCCGCCGCCGCCGCCGCCGCCGCCGCCACTGCTGGTGCCATCGCCCCGGTCGCCGCAGCTGATGTCGCCTGGCCCGGTGCTGCTTTGGGCCCGTTTGGGTTGCGCCCCGCTCCGCTGCTGCCGCCGCCTCCGGAGTTCGGGTTTGGTCCTCCGCCGGATCTATCCGCCTCCATTTTAACGGTTCAACCTTTCGCCAGGACAAGGAGGTGGAAACGGGCGGAGTGTAGGAACAATAATAATAGAAAAGTACCTCGGACCCTTCTTCCAACCCAGCAGCACCTCGCTAAAGGCTACCCTCTTTTCTTCCTTTTCTCACAAGCACAGAGCAAAATTACTATTCAGACAGCAAAATACTACACTTCCGCTTTCAAACCTTCAAAATAAAACACCACCAAGCTACATATCTGCACCAACGTGGCCTATTTAATCACCAATAAACCGTATTTAGCATCAATTCTCCATTCTGTATATATTTACTAAAGTAACATCGGAGTATGGCCCTTAAAGGTCTATCCCTCAGAGCAGGTATTAAAATGATTTTTGCCGCTCTTATTTTGTATATCCCGGATTTGTTTCCTCCTCCTTGTGTTTGCTGGAAATGCCCACTGTGGCTGACAAATAAAGGACCGTGATTGCTGTAATACACAATGAACGTGTCGCTAGGGGAGTTCATTTCCTGCCATTTTGTGAACTGGGATGTTTGAGAATAGTAAAGTTAGCCAATATTATCCACAACTTTGTTTCCAGTTTAATGTTAAAATAAAATAAAAAATCTCCACGACACAAAGACCGTGATTTTGTCTGCTATATAATAATAAAAAAAAATTATAAATAATAATAAATATATTTTTTAAAAAAAATAATAATAACAATAGTAGTAATGGTATTATTTATTATTTTTATTATTATTATATTAATGATAATAATGATAATAAAAACAATAAGAACAATAATAATTTGGATTATACAGCACTTTTCTGGATATTCAAAGACGCTTTACAGAGAACAAAAACAACAAAACAAAACAAAAAAGAAAAAACAAAAATGAAATAATCTATAAGAAGGGAAACAATGCAGAGAGGGAGAAGAAGAACAGTTTTTTTAGAGGTTGTAGGCAGTTTTGAATAATTGTGTTTTGAGGGATTTCTTGAATGGAATGATATATAATAATACAGGAAATATAATATAATATAATATAATATAGTCGTTAGAATATAATATAGGTCCCTCCGCAAGGTGTAGGTTTTGTTTCAACATTAAAGGGGACACATATTAATGAGGGCATGGGTTTTAGGTCTCCCCAAGGAAATTTAGAGTGTCAAACACTTAATTTCCTGCATCAAAATAAAAGTTCTCACTGCTACTTTAATGATTTTACTGGGGGACAAATGCATTGGGCATGTTTGAGCATGGCTAAATCAGTTTTCTTGCAGATCTATTATCCATTGGACTTGGACAGGTGGACACATATTAACATATGGTAATCATTATTTTCTCATTTTAACCAGATGGAAATGAAGATATAAGCACATACAATATGTAGGCTACAGAATAATTCCATAATACAGTATGTATTAAAAAAAAGAGATATTGAAAAGAAAAATAGATATTGCAAAGATGGATGTTACAAAAATAAGCTGTACAGATGTTGGCTGAAGGTTACAACCATAGACTGTATAAAAATAAGGTTACAACTTGGAATCCCTGCTACAAAGTAAAAACACATGTCATTTTGTTTGATCATAATTTCTTTTAAAGGCCACATGCATCCACATTATTTTATTTCCTGTATGTACAAGTGTGAATAATTCATTATATCTTTAAATACTTTTTTGTTCACAAATGTTTTCACATTAATTTGTGCAGAGAGATATGTCTCAATCTGACTATTTTGTTCAGTTTTTTCTTTAAAATGGTAGAGATTAAATCATAGTTTAAGAATGAATGTCAGCCCTACAATAGTATTATGATGTGTAGTTGATGCAGTTTTGTGTATTTTTTAAAAATGTATTATTATTATTTGTCATTCTTAAATATGGCACTTTTATTCTGAAGAAATCGAAGTTTCATGATTTCTTCAGAATAAAATAAAAAGTAAAAAGTGCCATATTTAAGAATATGTTTTAAATAAGGCTACATACATCTATTCTTTTTCCTATATGTACACTATGAAGATGTCATTACATATTTGAATACTTTTCTTTTTACACAAACGTTTTTCACATATAATTTGTGCAAAAAGAGATATTTGACAATATTGTACAGTGTATAGTTAAAGAGTTTTTTCCTTTTAAAATTGTTTAGTTTAGTTTATTAGGACCCCCAGCTACTATTCTTCCTGAGGTCCACAACAACTTAACATTCGTGACAGTGCACAAAACAACTCACATATAACACTTAACAAAATAGCATGACTAGACTAAAACATTAACACAGACAAATAAGACAGCTCCTGGTAATATAATAATTAAGATATATATTTTTCATGAGTTCAATTGGTAAGTTAGCGCCAGATTATATTTTGATAAGTAGTTGATGCAGTTTGTGCATTTTTATTTTTTTACTTTTTTTTACATTCTTACATATGTCACTTTTATTCTGAAGGAATCGAGCCGGAAGTCTTTCTGTTGTTGCGGGCAACAGACGGGAAGCGTGATTTCTTAATGGTAAAATCGTGCAGTTTGTTTTAATGGTTAAGCTTGAGTTAAGCTAAACAGTAATGCAGTATTCTGGTGCGATTGGGGCTCACTTGGTTTTGGATTTCTTCTCTAAATGTTGGAGACCAGATTTCATCCTCAAACGCGTTATTATCATCTAACAATGCGGATTAATCTGTGTGTTTGCTGTTACCGATTCAGCCAGGTTTGCTCCTGTGCTACCAGAGCTGGCTGAGATGGACCACCATGGAAAGCAAGTATAGTGCAACAAGGTCAATAGGCTCCAAGGTGGAAATGCTCCTGATAACATGGCTGATGCATAATAAAGAATAAAATAGATGCAAATTAAGGTGAGTTGTGTTCATGAATTTGTTCAGCCTGTTTGTGTAGGTTGATAATGCATTTTATGTAGCCTATAGAAGGAAACCTTGCATTGAGCTACCTGTCCTTGTTTTACATTTAGATTAACTGATTATGGCTAGGATAATATTCAGTGCATCAAAGTAGTCCTATGTCTCATATTAAAGTAGCTTTAGGTTGTATGACACAGTCAAGATATCCGTACAGTTGTTATACACATATAAGCTGCATTGTTTCCTCTGTTTTTCACAGGTTGTCATCAACTCTCATTCCTCTACTGTTGCACTAATGGGGACCTAAGACCCACCACTGGATTTCTTCACTGAAACCTCGTCTCGTCATCAGCTGCCATGCGGATCAGTCTCTGCCAGGGCCTGTTAACTGGCGCCATCATCCTGAACCTCCTCATTCTCTACTATGTGTCCCGGGCCCAGCAGCAGATGATGGAGAAAAGGAAGGAGCTCGGGCGGGGCACGAGGAGGGCTGCCCTACCAGCCTCCGGTCTGGGAGGAGGCCTGGGGGCACTTGTGGGCACTGGAGGTGAGCCTGGAGGGGTCGGAGGTGAGGGACACAGTCGTGGCCCACGTGTGACTGTTCTTCTGCGGGAGTTTGAAAACTTTGAGAATTATGTTGGGGATGTGGCGAATTCCTTCCTCCGCCAGAGACCTGAGCTTCCCTTCCTGGCTGTGGCCGACACGTCACCGTACCCTCCCTTGGTGCTTCCAGAGGGCGCACGCCTTCTAGTGCTCACCCCCAGCCCGGACCAGCCACCGCAAGCTCACAGGCCAGAGTTCCACATCCAGACGGAGTTTGTGCTGGTGGTGCCTGATGGAGTGGAGTTGGAGCAACCTCGGGCGATTGAGAGGCTGATCAGGGAGCTGGAGGGTGAGGGTGGGGGGCCCGTGAGGCTGGTAGCTGCCCCCGTGCTGGCTCGATCTGCTGTGCAGTGTCTTCACCTGCGGGTGAACCTCAGAGAGTGGACAGCCACCTACTCGCCAGCTGCGTCCGGGAGCAGCGGGAGCGTGTGTACGGCTTTACAGGGAGATGCAGTTGTCCTCATTCGCACAGAGGATCTTTTTAACCTCTCTGTCCCTCTGGGGAGGCCCCTCTTCTCCTCGCTCTTCGTCCAGACTGCCTTGAGAGGCTGGAAGGTCAAGCTGCTGGAGAGCCCCTGTTTCGCTGCAAACCACCGGCCACTGTTCAGCTCTGCTCACAACCAGTGGAAGGCTGACACTCGGCTGAAGGAGACAACAGGGAAGCTCATGAGGAGCTTTGGTCTGAAGCGTCTCCTGCTGCCTGATGGGAAGGAACAGTGGTATGGCTGCAGTAAAGAGACGCCTCGCTGCTTTGGCACAGTGCAGGATGACACTCCAGACTACCTCTATCTGGATCGCTGGACGCCTCCCTGCTGTCTGCGTGCTCTCAGGGAAACCACCAAGTATGTCATCAATATCCTGGAGACCTCAGGCGTACGCTACTGGCTCGAGGGGGGGACTCTACTGGGTGCTGTCCGCCATCAGGACATCATCCCATGGGATTATGACGTGGACCTGGGCATTTACCTAGAAGACGTACCCAACTGTGATCACTTGAAGAACCTGGACTCAGGTTCTCTCGTGGATGCTAATGGCTATGTCTGGGAGCGCGCAGTGGAAGGAGACTTCTACAGGGTCCAGTACAGCGAGGCCAACCACCTGCATGTTGACCTTTGGCCGTTCTACCCACGAAACGGCGTCATGACCAAAGACACATGGACAGAGCACAAACAAGACGTGGAGTTCCCGGAGCACTTCCTGCAGCCGCTGGTGCCAATGTCTTTTGCTGGCATCACTGCCTACAGCCCCAACAACCACCGAGCTTTCTTGGAACTCAAGTTCGGCGAGGGGGTGATTGAGAACCCTCAGTATCCCAACCCTTCGAAAAAGAGGCTGGACAGAAGCAAATTATAAGAGACGATAAAGAAGTGTGTTTTATGTCGACTGTTCAGAAAATTCTGCCACTTTTTTTTATACGAAAAACAGACTAAAAGATGATGCTTGGGACTAATGTGGTGCCAAAATGACTGCCGTTGCTGTCAATTTTAAGACAGCTAGATCAGTACTTGGATGTTAAGTCCAACATTGGACTGCCTGGAAAGATTTAAATCCATACACTAGTGAGTTTACATCAGGCATATCTTTAAGACTGGCTGGCTTTACCACATGTTGTACGAAATCTGTATGTATTGTACAGTAAAGTATAAATATGACTGCTGTGAAGATGTGGATTCTCACTAAAAGCTAGTGTACATGATCTTAAGCAGGATTTAAGATTCTGTACAGATTATCTGTGTTACATAAGTGCTTTTGCCCCGACAGGTGTTTTATGAATTTCTTGATTGTTGTATTGATTTGCACAGGTTTTGTCAGTTTTGCGGTTTATGAATGGATGTTACTGTGTATCGATGCCGACTGGTATCTGACAGCTGTAGCGTGGTGCGTACATTTCGATGTGGTGAAATGAGAAACATACCGTCATTCGTCCGTATGGAGAGGATGATCAGGACTTAGAAAACTTTTACTGAAACGTAAATTAATAACCTTTACCAAAATTAAGTGTGTTACTACTGAGCACCCATTATGTGTTAACTTAAATGAAATTTTAATTCAGCAGGGAAGTCGGACATAAAAACACACAAGCTTCTCTGGGTACGAGATGTTTCCTGTAGCGTTGTTACATGTGTGATGTATCAGTGTGTCACTCCAAGTCATGAACCGGTAAAATAAAGACGTCGTAACAGGTTGACTTACGTTATTCATTTGTTTTGAGAATTGTTGGCAAATCCATTGTAAATACATTGAATGTGCAATATTGGCTGCAATTTTCTTTTTTAAACACTAGATGGCACAACACACCTATTTATTCTGCAGCCTCTGTAACTCCTTTAAGCCTCTGCACTAAGTTGTGTCAAAGGCATTATGGGAGTTCCTCAGCCATATGGCAGGGGCCCAGGGGGTGGAGGATTTTATGACAGGACACACAGGAATGCAGCTCGCTTGTTTTGTCAGACTTGTCCAGTGATGTAAATAGCTTCCATATACTACACAAGACGTTGTCCTGTCATTGTCTTTCACCTGTGGTTGCTGCTCATATTGTATTCCCCAAGGTGTATTTTCATTCCTTCTATTCACCATAATCAACACTGTTCATATATGGCCTTGGAATGACATAAGCATCCATACAGCTGAGAGGCTGTGTGGTTATTTTAGGATGCAAAAACATAAGTAACTGAGTATGTTTCTCCTCTTGCATGCTGCTACAGAACGGAGGTGAAAGCATTATTTCACTATGGAGCTCTCATGCAGACAAACTAAATACAGACCAAGAGAGACAGCCACATAATTTAAAAAAAGTCTTTATTATTAAAACCCTAAAGACAGTAAATTCAGACTAAGTTTTGAAACAACCCCTCTGTAACAAAGTCATTACTAACATGACCATATACACAACACAAATACTCTGTTCGAACCAGACAGACATCCGTACGGCAAAAGATCTCAGAGGAATGATAACATCTTAAACCTTCCACCATAAAAGCACAAAGTAGACACAAAAGCTGTTTTGAGGCAATGGTTAACATTTCAGCACTCTGGTGACATAAGACTGTACCGAGTGACGAGGCCTCGGGCCTGTAACAATTTCATAGATGATCATGGGAAACACTGCAACACTAACATTGAGCTGATCCAGTATGGAGAATCTTTGTATATGTTAATAGCACACACCCCAGTTATTTGGTAGAGCTTTAAATAGTTCAAGATGATATGGATGGAAGAGATAAACATTCAATAGTGCAACAGTACCGGTAATCATACGTGCATAGCATATGTTGTACACATGTATGATTCATATATGCATGTAGTATTAGAAAACAGTTTCTATCACTCCAGGGTGCGGCTAGTACAACTCATCTCATCACTGCTACACCACACATTCTCCAAAGTCTTCAAGTTTCCTGAATGCCTGTGGACAAACTGCAGAGAAAATTCCAACAGAAGTACCTTACAGACACAAACTAGACTCACCCACAAGTTTGAAATAATCCAAGAAAAATACATCATTTAAAAAAACTATCACCGACCAGTTATTACAAGACTTGAAACTGGAACAGCATGATAAAACATGGGCGAAAAATGTCTTTGGATTTTGTTTAGGGAAATAAATATTACTTTAAACAGATATTCAGGGGCATCTGAGGCATCGAAAATAGTGTACAAGTCGGCCTAAAGCCCATAAATCTAGTATTTCGTCTTTATGGCCATCACAGCCAAAACATAAATAGGTTTCAGTGGAGACAAGCTTACGTTCACTCAAGTCCTTTTAGCTCCGGACAGTCAAATTGCTGCTATATTCATGTAGTGGAAGGACTTTTGTTACTTACACATCACATGAAGTCACACCACACTTTTATACAACATCAAACATATTGTCCTTCTTGTTAGAGACTGCTTTAAAACCCATTTGTGCCTTGATAAAATGTGTGTACCGACAGAGAGCAACAGGATGAGTAAAATGTAGGGTGTAATTTAAAAAAATCTTCTTGGAAATGTCATTCAATGCTATCAGGATTTCATCGGTCTCCTTCCTGTTTGCTGAGTCGATGTGATTTTTGGTCTCTGAATATTAAGGAGTAGTTGGAGGACAGTCTTCAAGCCATAGTTAAACCTGAGGTTGCGTTGTCTGCCATCGCACCGATGTCCATTAGAAGAGGCAGAAATGCTCGGAGGTCCATCTGTGTCCGTGGATGTTTTGAATCCTTGAGAAAAAGTTCCTTCATTTAGCTTTAGGACGTCAGTGAGTGCTACTAAGGATAGTATTACCTTTGTACCTCATTGCTTCTTCTCACCAGGAGAAAGGCATCGTACACAAGAGAGTCATCGGCATAGATAAAGTCATCGCCACAATAAAAGAATATTAAAAGCCTTAACCCCCTACAGCTATAAAAAGAACAAGTGTTTGTGCTTTTAGCTTTACATATGACAAATCGTACGTCTGTTCATATAAAAAGCATATTATGATATATTTCATAACAAATATGATCCTTTTTCTGTATAGTAAGATGGGAATCTGACAAAGGTGAACACAGAGGAAAAATAAAAAAGGTGACGTAATAAAACAATTTTAAAAAAGGTATTTTTTTCATTGATAATGTCAGCAGCTGGATTACATGATGGACTCCTTTTCACCAAGAGCCTTCTTAGCAGCGTCTGCACTGTCCCTCCCACCTCGCTTCTCAATGAGCGGTGAGCTCTCAGGGGCTGGAAGTGTTGGGTCTCCCATCCTGACCTCGCTCAGCTCTGCTCCCTCGTCTCGTTTGGACGTACGATCCACAAAGTGCTGCAAAAGCCCAGCTCCGAAGGCATCGCCCTCTACGTTCAGCACTGTGCAGGTACGGTCACTAAAGAAAGACAGAATGGATGCCAAGCAGTTTTAATATTAACCCATCGTAATTTCATATGTGACATACGTCATGTTATTTGGCTGCCGTGCTTTATGTCTACATAAAATACTCACACAAGCCAATCAACAGCCAGGATGAGAGAGATGTCATTGGTGGGCAATCCTACAGCCTCCAGGATGATGGCCAGGGTCAACACACCACCGGCAGGTATACCTGCTGCTCCAACACTGGACGCTGTGGCTGTCACACTAACACATTAAGAGGGAAGATGACAGAGTTAGACACAGATAGAGCAGCTACAATTTTAAACAGCATCTTCACACACATGAAATTTTATATATCACTGTATACCAACTATATTTACATTGAAGTAGGGCTGAGCGATATGGCCAAAAAAATAACACTGCAATAATTTTAGGCTGTATTGCTATACAGGATGTACATCTAGGTATTTTGAAATCTCCCCTAAACTACTGTAGACTACTAAAACACTAAACTACGAAATAAACTATAGTTACAATAATGTCAAATAAACTACTGTTACAAAAAGTTAAACAAAGTACTGTTATAATAAAGTTAAATAAAATACTGTTACAAAAAAGTTGAAGTACAGTTATAATAAAGTTAAATAAGCTACAGTTATAAAAAAAAGTTAAAGCACTATTATAATAGAGTTAAATAAAGTACTGTTATAATAAAGTTAAATAAAGTATTGTTACAAAAAAGTTAAAGTACTATTATAATGAAATTATTTAAAGCTGAACCACTGGTGCTTTTATTCTGAAGCACCTGGCTCGTCTCGGGTCGTGCTCTTGATGTTTTGTGAACTTGAAGCTTCTGGTCAACAGTTAGCTGTTAGTTACAGCAGCACTATTACACATAAGGGTTGATCCACTGTGGGAAAATAAACGAATAGCTCTCCAGTTCATATAATAATAGTATTTGCAAGTCACACTGGTGCTCCATGGTCACAAAATGAGACTAAATGATCGTAGTTTGGAGCACTGCTGTTAGGAAAACGCACACCCTGCATCGTGTTTGTGAGCCTTTTTTTCTTTTTATAAATATATATATTTATATTAGGTCTGCGAGAGGGAGGAGCCGTAAGAGAGTCTCCTGTCGGTGGCTTAAAAATTTGTAGTTTGTACTCAGTGTCTGCGATATAGTCATTATTATACATCCCACTTGGGATAAGTTGCAATACATCAAGTATATTCGATAAATCGCCCACCCCTACATTGAAGTACTTGATAAAAGGAGGCAAATGTACAATTGAACATGTAATCTAGTCGGCAACTGTGCGTTTCAGGACTTACAGGATGGTAATAACTTGGATGAAGTTGAGGGAAAAGTTGTTCAACTGAGCAATGAAAACAGCAGCCACACACTGGAAGAGAGCAGCTCCGTCCATGTTGACCGTCGCTCCGATGGGCAGGATGAAACGGCTGATGTGCTTGGATACGCCGTTATTTTCCTCCACGCACTTCATCATCAGGGGCAGAGTGGCCGAGCTAAGAGACAAGGAATGCGCCAGGGTAAGACGGCGAAAGGTATGCGCACATGTGTTTGTAGAAGGAGGAAAGTGTGTATGTTTTAGAACAAGAGCGCCTCAGTATTTTATATTTAGAGAGAACAAACAAGTGTGTGTGCGGGAGTATTAGAGAAGTGAGCACCGTTGAGTCTATTACCTGGAGCTTGTTCCGAAGGCAGTTGCCAAAGCTGTGAATATCCCCCAGAGGAAGGTGTATGGGTTCTTCCTTGTAATGACGAAGTAAATGGCGGGCAGTACGAGAAAGCCATGGACGGCATGTCCAATGATACAGCAGGCTATATATTTTCCCAGACTGGCAAACAGATTACCAACATCCTCCATCTCGACGATCTTGCCAGCTACAAGGAACATGATACCAAGAGGGGCGTACCTGTAGAGATACAGGAGGGGCAGGAAAGAGAAGGGACGGATGATTATATAATTATGCTTCTAGGAAAAAAAACCTGTACTCAATAATCAAGCGTATTTAACACTGATTTTGTTCTAACATGTAGGTCTTTCTTACCACATGATCCAGGAGACCAGCACCATGGTGGCCTCGTTGAAGGAGTTGAAGAACTTGATGAGGATCTCTCCTTCCTCTCCCAGCTTCCTCAAAGCGATACCAAACACAATGGCAAACACGACCAGACCAAGAATATTCATGCCATCCTGGTCGGTTCCAAAGGGCACCTAAAGACACATATGAAAAACAGTGAGGACAGGCAACACATTAGAATCCTTAATGTATTTGTGGTATATTTTATGCCGACAACTCAGCCTTTTACTTTGCTCACCTTCTCCACTGTGATATTAAGGTTTCCATCTGTGCCATTCCTGGTTACCAGCTTGTAGCTGGTTGCATACTGGATGGGAAAGAAAGTTTTGCCCAGTTAGTTATTTTGTTACACCCAGACATCTTATCCAAGCATTTCCTTTATACTATTTCAGACCTTAATTATGTAAAATTATAGAATTGAGGTGCTTACTGATTGAAAAGCAGCAGCCACCAGGTTGGAGGGAAAGATGTTCCTGTAGAAAGAAAAAAAACACAACAACTAAACAACACTTCCAAGTGTTTACTAGAGGCCTTGGGAAAACCCAACAAAAAAAACATGTGGTTGTGATTGGAAGGGGATAAATTACATGTTTGGGAACCGAACGGCACAACACAATGCAAATGCTCGGGCCTTGTTTGTTTGTTTTCTCTCTATCGGCACACACAACTGCATGAAACAACCTTGACCGCTTATGGGAAAGGACACACGAAGCAAGGATACATTGCTACAAGGCAAACACATTGTACAGCCAAAGACTGATCTCTGTTGAGTTCATAAATGTTTCTAAGTCTGAAATGTTTGTGTGCCACATAAGAGTCCTACCTTATAGCCTCACTTTGAAAAAAAAACTAGTTATTTCTGTCTGTTGTAGAAACAGTGGCTAGCTACACCCTCTGGGTGTCAGTGACAGCCCAAACAGAAGGAATCACAAGATCGATCATGTGGAAATAGCTCAGAGAATTTAACTATTAATCCCCTTTTTTTCCTCCCCCCCTCTACTTCTAATCGCTGTTGTGTTATTCATTCTCCGCTAACGAGTACACACACACGTTGCTATATAGGTTGAGCTGCATATTAAATCTCTAAAGAACTCCTGAAACCCATGCGTCCCCGATACCCCTATATGTAATGGATTTAGAGTATATTAAGGAATTAACTTCACAAGCTCTTTCCAACCATTCATTCCCCTTTCATTGGAACCATAATGCATCCGAATTAAACATCATGTGACTGTGGGACAGACAGGGCGGCATGCAGCTTCTGGTTGTGCAGCAAAAAGCCATGACAAAGAGGCTGTCGGGCTTTCAAGTCAATATTAGTCTTCATTTGGATATTCAAATAGATTAACTCTTGTTTTATTGTATATGTGTCAATTTAGTATAATTAGGCCTAATGAATTTTAGAACAGCTTCACAAACTGCTGGATTGGAGCCTGATGCACATACTATCACGCAATGTATAACACAGGGCTTTAAACCATGTTGTGTCCTCCTGAGTCAAGTTTTTCAGTGTCAAAAAGACCTAGATGTTTGGGAAAGGCAGCACTGCATTGCTTTGCATTGTGCATTGACCTAAATTTTGCATAGAGTTGACAACGCAGAGCAGAAACCTCCACTTCCTTTTTATACGGAACAGTTAAAAAAACCCCAATTCTAAATAAAGGATATGTACGTGTGCACTATTTTTAGGCATTCACAGACAGTCAAAGGTTTCATTTCCTCCAGTCATCACGTTTTTACTTTTCTGAAGAAGCACCTACAGTTTACTTTCTACAATACACAACAAGTTAGTCAACACAGAACAGGTTAACATCCTTGTGTGTGTTCCTTTTGCATCCAATATGCTTGCTATGCTAAATAAGTGGTATGTTCAGTAATATATCTAAAGGCTCTACTCGTTTTGGTTTTGTGGAGTTTTTCTTTGGCTCAAATTGGGATTCTGGAAGAGGATCTCAGACGCTGTACATATTGTAAAATCCTGTAAGACACACATGATTTTTGACAACGTAAAAAGACGTGCCCAAGCACAGGTAACGATAATCATCAGAGTGGTATGACAACAATCCACACAAGGTGAAACATCATTAGGTATGTGCGTGCGTGCGTGCGTGCATGTGCGTGTTTCTTTTATGGCGGGCTACTGATAATTGCTCTGACGTCTTCCGAGCATCTTGTTACACCAGGATCTGGCAACAAGCAGGTAGCAATCCATGCATGTCATAGAATAATAAATGTTTCACCCCCTACCCTACAACAATGACTCTAGGTCTTTAAAAGAACGAATGATGAATTTAAAAATGCTCCCACTCTGTTCACATTGAGCCAGTTTTAGACGGGATCCGGAGAGTAGTGAAATTAAAGTTTGAGTATAATGAGTTAGGAACATTCAGTAAGTTTAAAGCCCATCAGATGTTCACAGCTTTGTGTCTATTGTTCCATATGTTTAGCTACCTGCTAAAAAATGTTATGTTGTCAGCAACACTGACGAGGCATTCCTTAAAATGTAACATCAGGAGTTTGAAAGGTAAAGCAGCTTATTTAAAAGGAACAGTGTGCAAGATTTAGGGGGATTTAGGGCATTTTCAGCTGTCTTGCATCGGTCCAAATCAGGGACTAATTTTGTTTCAAAGTTGCATAATTACCTAGAGTTGGTTCGTGTTCTCACAGCAGCGTTTACAAGCGGACCAGATAAAATGCCCTGCGCGAGAAAGCTGCTCTTGATTGGTCAGAATTTCCATGCAGGAAAAATCCAGGAAGTAAACAAAACATTCAAACGAACTTGAGTTCAATTGAACCGAACCAAACACGGCAGGTCTGAAAGCACCCTTAGTGGCATATAGAGGTGTGGACTGTAGATTGCAACCAGCTGAAACTTCTCCCAGTTAGAATTCCTTCAGTGTTCATTGTTCAGGAGGTTTTTTAGCAGGAGCTGCATTATCCACAGAGGTCTCCTCCTCTCCAAAACAAACAGACCCCGTGGTTGAAACTGGTAGAAACAATGAATAGAGCAGTTTCATCAGTGTTTTGTGGACACTCTGTTCGTTGAGGGGGACGCTTTGTGGCTGATGCAAAAATGCGAATGTCCATTCTGGGCTACTGTAAAAATATGGTGGCACAAGATGGCGGACTCTGTGGACATCCCAATTCCTATGTAGATATAAACAGCTCATTCTAAGGTAATGAAAACATAACAATTCTTATTTTCAGGTGATTATACACTAAGAAAGCACGCAAATTGTATTATATTCTGTCTATTTCTGTCAATATATGTCCCTAAATCCTACACACATGACCTTTAAAAAGAGGAAATTCCACCTTAATTTACTAGAAAGCTGAAAAAGAACACTACTTGACTTTAGCTGAGATGGCAATGTTGAGCTTGGATCCATAAGATGAAAAATACTAAAAATAAAGGATAAAAAGGGATCCAATACAGTCTAACACCACAGGTACTTGGGATAAAAGCAGGCAATGCGTGAACCTCTTTGAGGAAATACTTTGTGCCACACAATCGGTATGTAATGTCACTAACTTCCTGTAACCTCGGGCAAAAAACGCATGTAGTCAAATTCACAGGTGATGTTAGCACCAACTCATATCCGTCACCTGTGAATGTGGACCATATTGTTCTAAGTGGGAGACCAAACAAAGGCGGGGGATGGGAAACGTCAATAAGGATGTGTAGGGAGTGGCTCCAGCCAGGGTTTAACACATCACATACACCCCTACGCTGACATGTGGTCTTTTACTGTACTGTGTGGACAATGACAGAGCATAATTTAATAGGGTTTGTGTCTGTGAACAATGACCAGGCCAATTTTACACTGTGATGAGCAGCTCTTGTGTCACAGTCCCACACTGTCTTTGTTGTCAAAACTAACTGGGACACCAACTGAGAGGGCTTGCTCTAATGAGAGGCACAGGTTTCGCCTGCTGTCCTATTAGGATAGCGTGTGTGTGTGTGTGTGAGAGAGCTTTTGTCCTGCACGAGATAAACATTACTTTACTGAGCTTTTCCTTCAAAACAGCAGCCAGCAACAGTAAACAAATCTGGACATGGTGCATCTGAGATGTTGCATTCAGGAGCATCAGTTAACAACAACTGCTGCACTGATTCTCGGGGTAAATCTGCTCTACATTATGAGTTTACATCCTCATCATTAAACATGAACAGAGTCAGACAAAATGCCAAATAGCCCATCTGAGTTTTGCGAAACTAGAACATTGTGTTCTAACTTCAATACCGGCATGTGTCGGCCTCAGATTTGAAAACAAGGGGGGTAAAAGTGATCATCTGCGAGTGGTTAGGTTTTGCCCTGTTACTCTTGCATGTCTAATCTGGCTGTGGGCAGCATGAGATGTTTTAAGGAGGGGGTTGCCAGGACAAACTCTTTGAGAAGGAGAAGGAGAGAGGTTGGAAAATGGAAAGCGGCTCTCAACGTTCCAAAGAATGTTCGAACTAACCAGACAAAATTATGCAACAGAGTCCCGAGCATAAAAAGACTGCATGTGAACAGTGAAAGTTCTGATCTCTCTGCAGAAACGGAAAACTGTTTGAAGGCATCAAATTAGCTGATAATGGACTGTTAAAGAGAGATCACACATTCCCATTAAACACAAAGGAGTGTGTTTATGCTAAATACAGTCCACTTTCCTGTCTTTGTAAGGGAACCGGCCGCTTCAGCTCACATCACAGTGTGTGGCAACGTGTACACAAAAGGTCAATTCAATTTACCTTCACAGCATAGTCGCCCTGATAAGCAATACCATCATGCTATCTTTGCTTTTGGGGTAAAAGAGGGTGGAAGTAGTTGTGTAAGACATGAGAATGTGTCAGAAGATGTTCACGTCTCACTATTTCAGGCTCTGAGTCAATTGTTAGCCAACTGTGAGCACCCTGCTTCCCTTTAATCCTCAGTGTAGATGAGGTGGCACAGGTCTCATGAATGTCCCATGAATGTGACACGCAGATAAAAAAAGACTAATTTCCATCAGATACGTTTAGAGCTGTACAGTGGAGAACACACTGTGCCAAAAGGCCTGCATGTTGGAGGACACTTAGACAGCCTTGTGACATCAGACATGTTACACCACATTTCTTTCTTCCACGTGTCTGCGCATCAGCCTGGACGAGAAATGTGGCCCACGACGCACATCTGGTTGTCAATTCATAAAAAAAGTAACATCCTCTGAAGTCATGGTGAAGCAGTTCTTACTTAGAATAAAACTGAAGTTGTGGTGGTTTTATTGTCCCAGACGGGACAGTCCCGACATGAAGAGTCTAACCACTCGTCTCTCAAGGTGTTACGCACATGTTAGGGCCTTTTGGAATGTGGAGTGCCTTTTGGGGAGTATTTATATGAATATGTTTCTCACTGAACAGTTTTGTGTCAATATCACGAAGGCAATAGTGTGAAAACAGAATAGTAATTTAAGTTTAGTTATTTTAAATGTGAAAAGGATTGTGTTGGTTTCATTAAATAGTCGGTGGCAACCGGCGCTCTGTCCCTGGGAGTTACTGGTCACAGCTCAGCTGACGCAACTGCCAGTTGTCATTACAGCACCACAGCGCGCATATCTGATGATGGACTGAGCCAAGGGTCTCATTTTACTACTATCCCACTGTTAGAGTTATTTTCCCTTGTGTTGTAAAAATAAAGGTTACCAGACGGGACAGAAGGTAAAAAGGGGCTTGTATCTTTTCCCGAGAGCTACTGTATCTCACTTTGGCAACGTGTGCCCGCGGGAAGGCGCTGATGAACCCAGCCATCATAATTACTTCTAAAGAGTTTGTGAGCTCAGCAGGTGAGACTGAATGAGGGGATTCACTCACCTGATCAAATCTAAGAAGGAGTCTATGACTTCTTTGGCGGCAGGTACGTCGTCATCCAAGCCTTGGATCTTGGGTTTGGATATGGAACCCGACCCCGGCGTCAGTATGTAAGCCATCACAACCCCGATGGAGGACGCAATCAAGGTGGTGACCAGGAAGAACAGCATAGCCCAGCCACCAAGTTTGCCCAGAGCTTTGGGGTCGATGCTGGCAGCCCCGGACACCAGACTGCACACTACCAGGGGGATGATGATCATTTTCAGCAGTCTAATGAGTAGCTCACCGGGGAAACCGACGTAGATGATCTGGGTCCTGGTGAGGTCCGCGTTGCGCACAGCGAGTCCAATAAAAACACCGATGATGACCCCGGCCACGGTGAGGATCACCAGCAAGTTGGCCATCACTATCCTCTTCACCCGCTGGGCCAGCGGCTCCTTGCTGCCCTTCTTGGGGCCGTTGGTGCCGTTGGCCAGCTGCTCATCGAGGTGCGCCTCGCCATTGGCTGCCTTGCCTTGCTCCATGTCCATCTTCTCAGCCATTGTTCGCGTTAAAAGTTACTATGGAAATTATCCTAAAAGAACAAATACTTCGCTAAAAAAATTGTAGTGAGAGTACCTCTAAGTAGTGTCACCACACGGCGACAGCTGCCCCGCACAAGTACACGATGCTCCTGTTACTCACAGGATAGCCTACTTATCTGACCAGAATATACACGCCCCCTCCCTGTCACGTGTGAACTGGGCGTGTTTAAAAATAATTTATTTAATTTTTTCAACTGTTCCATTACATTCATTAAAATGCAAATACGATTAGACATCCTTCTTTTAAGGCATTGTGTGTCTTATTTTAGGTTGAACACAATATCATGCTCATCATACCATACACAAGATTGTTGAAGTTTGGGTAATGTGGACAGGTAGGTCACAAACATCACAAGAAGGCCTTGTTGGTCAGGTTCATGTTTTACTGTTTATTAGCCTAAATGAAGATTGAAGGGCTGTTACTTTTAGTAAAATGCGCTCCATCTGTTATAACTTCGTCTGGTTGGATGATAAAGTTGTTTGAAGCAGAAGCCAGACGTGTGCTTCTCTGAAAAATGTTGTTTCACCATTGCAGATATTTCAGATGTCTGCAAGTCCAAGTGGGCTGGCCACACACACACACACACACACACACACACACACACTACAGCTAAAGCAACAAGTCTCCATGCATGGTACATGATGTAAATTATTCTGAAACTAAAGTATAATCCTGAAACAAGCCTCAAGTATTGCATCATGCAGTGAAAAGCACAACTACATGCAAACTCCCTTGAGCATAAATATAACTAAATACATTTTTTCTTTTGTTTTCTTTGTTTAAGTAGTTGCAAAATTACTTTATATTTTGTGTATATGTTATTCAGTCATTATTATTTTTTATTTTATTCATTTAATTTGGTCATTATTACTCTGCTTTTAGGAGCAGGGGGTGGGTAAAGGGGGGATATTACTGTTTTAAAAGAAAAACATTAATCTGTACTCCTGTATCATCATACATGCAGAGTATTGAATAAAACGTGGTTGTAAAAAAAATGCTGAAAATCAAACCCAATGTAAAAGCTAAAATCAAAAACCAAGAAACTCAGCCAATACTGAAATACTACTCTCTTATATTAGAATAGCAATAACTGGGTTGCGTTTGCTGAACTCGGAGGCTTTGCCTGAACAGCTGTGGAGACTGCCACTGCACTTTGATGAGACCTCCCTCCTCTGTATGCTTATTTGCTCTCCTCCCGAGTACCAACTCAATGAATGCCATTGTTATCATAGTTATATCATCAAAGGATAGTGCATGTAGAGCCACGAGCACAGCAGTACAATTAATCTATTTAATCATTAATCATCTGGTATGTTTGAATGACAAATGATGATAATTAAGGGCTTGCTTTGCATCATGTCAACGGCACTTTGTCTTACCCAATCATTAGAGATAGACAGGAAAGCATGCAATACACCACATCCTTCTACTTTCATTCTGATATTTATACAGGGACAAGTGGTGGCAAAAAATAGGAATGAAAGTGACTGAGAACGAAAGTTTGGGATGGAAAAGAGCGGTTTCAAATTTTCTTCAAAATCATAGTTTCCCAACTACAACCCTGCAGTTTTTGGCAAGGTGGGTATCAATCTGTGACAAGAGACAGACTCTCATTGTCCAAAATACTGAGGACTACAGTCTGATAGCCTAAAATGTGTGTGTAGAGGTCCAAGAAAGCCTGGGGTAAGCTTACACTCAAACAACAATCCGAGCCCGTTCTAAACAGAGTCCCACTGGTAGAAATTTGTGGGAAAAGCACCTTTAACACCAAAGAATGCCCACAGGACCAGAACCCAGGCTGGTAGGAAGCTGCCCTCTCAGTGCTCAGTTTGTTATCTCAGGCTTGTTCTTTGTTCCCTCTGACTGTGTGAATGATTGAAGGAATTGCTATGATTCTGTGAAATAGTGCATTACTCTGTGAGAAAGGACAACTTCAATAGCTAAACCCGCAGGCACATGACACAAGAGCCGAGAGAGTTTTTCTAGAGTAGGCCCCATCTATGAAAACACACACTGCACTCACACAAGCTGCACATGCTGATGAGATGAGGTTTTGCTGATTTTTAACATCCTATTTGACTGGTCTTATAAATGCCAATCTCTTACGACAAGGATGACAAAACTGTGCAGACAAGAGTCTTCGATCAATGATATTGACAACCTAGAGCATGCTGCGGACATGAGCGCAGATTCCAGTGGCAACAGCTTTGATTACTTGTTTAAATATTCTCTTCCTATGCATTTACCATTAAACCCAGTTCACAGTCTAACAATAACCACTTAGTATATGAAGGACACTTTACACAGCTAGTGCAGCTTGACATTTTTGGTTTTAAGTGATATATCTTTACAACTAGGATGGACTGTCGTAAAATTTGGTACAGAGGTCCATGTCCTACTTCTTTTCATTAAATAATTCTCCAATATGTCTGGATATCTGTAAAATGACACTCTCACTAGCCTCAGCCGGTCTTTGCGTTTAGTGCTAATGCTAATGTTAGCATGCTAACACACTAAACCAAGATGGTGAACATGATAAACATTATTCTTTCTTAACATCAGCATGTTAGGATTGTGAAAGGCATAAGTTTCCTTTCAGAATTGTGGGGGACACATATTAAACATGGGGTTTTAGGAGTCCTCCGACAGAAAAGTTAGAGCATCAAAAATTTCTTGCATTCAGCTGAATGTTTATGCACCAATTTGTGCTTTTGCTGCACCAGTTTATGGTGTAAATGTCTTTAATTTTGTCAAAATAAAAGCCCTCCTCTATTTTCATGTTTGAGTTTGTTCGGACAAATGTAAAGAAGAAATAAAAAGACAAGTTGTTCTGCAAAAGCAAAACGGGATGTATAAATCCTTATAAAAGCTTACAACAATGCAAAATGCAAACCATGGTTATTTTTTTTATTCTCAAATTTCACCTCAGTTTGTATCTTTTTTTACAGAAGCTTGTTTTAAAGTTGATCACAAAAACACTGAATTTTAATCATCTCACTGCTGAAGTTATGATGTACCTGAACCAGGTCACGTAAAACAAGCATCACGTGACTCCTGAAACTGGGACACTGGAAAAAGTGTCAGGACAACAAAGCGCAGCTGTCTCAGGTATCGTGAGAACAAAAGGTGAAAGAAAGGGAGACTGACAATAAAAATATTGGAAGGCTGGAGAAAGAAATGAAAGTTAATCCTGCATCTTAATGTGCAATCCAGTAACTATATTCTACTGTTGTCATATAGCAGGACCGAGCAGGGCCAAGGTGCAGTACAAAAAGGCTTTCACTGACTGCAAGGTCACCTATGTAGATCTCTGATGTAGATTTCTACAAAATCTCCACAGTATCTTGACCAAGACAAGCTATCTCAGTGGATAAAATCAAAAGAATGCAGACATATAAACCAATGATAAGGAAAGTGCTAAGTCATGAAAACACAGCACTAGATTCAGCACCACTGTTATCCCTGTAGTCCAGAAGTGACGAGAAGGCCCCTAAACCCTGTCTGATCTCACAGAGCCTTTCGTGACCAGGAGGGGCCTCCCAAAATTATTTACGGATTTACACTGTGTAATCAGACTCACATGCCCGGCCTGCAGCCATCCTCCTGTGTCTGTTGCAGCCTGTCTGTCATAACCAGACTGACTTCATGTATAAGTGAACTATAATTTCAATGTAAATAATCTAAATTACTTGCTGGCTCTTTTATTTAGCATCATTTGGCCTCATAGAACATGCTTGTTCTGGGACCCCTGTGGGGAAGGTATGTTATTACAATCAGAAACAGAATCCGGTTTATTGTCAAGTAGGTTTTTACATACAAGGAATATGGTTTTGTGTTTTGGTGTATCGACAAGAAACACATATAAAAAAAATACGATTAATATACCATTTAAAATATGTGCAGTGTAACTGTGAAATGAAACAGTGAGGCAGGAATGTGAAGACATATTGTAGTAGATACATACTAATATCAATCATATCAATCACTTGCACAGGAAGCATCTCAAGAGTTACCATGGTAAAATACACAACATTAAAAGAAGTTGCACTCTGATAATATTTTGAAGATCAGATTGTGGATACTGGATGGGACCAGTCTCAGGGTGGCCCAGTCCTACTTACATAATCTTTATGAAAGATAACAGAGCTCAGGGCTTTTGATCTTCTGACTGATTTTCCATCCGATGTGCAACTTGTCAGTGTTTCTATATGTAACCATTTGAGGTTTGACATGGCAATATTGTGTATGAAATACTGGTGGACTATCTTAAGATGTATATCTATTCACCCGGTTTTGCTTTGCAGAAGCGGATTTTTAGTCCATGAGTTTCTATGATGGTGCATCAATAAAACCTGTGTAAGCCTGCACCTGAGTTTTAACAACGCAGTCTCACTCATGGATGGACCAGGTACAGTGTCAGGGCCCCCCTTGCCTTTGCCTACAAAATATCACTGAAATTACCACATACCATCCAGGAAGAGACTCAAAATGACCACGAAAACAGAGATGTAGAGATGTATAGCTGCACACATTGTGTTTTTAGCATGGCCACACCCCTACAAACCACACTCACCTCTATTATAAGGCAATCCCACCAATGCAACAGTTATCTGAACCATGCTACAACCGACATTGTAATGAGCAAAAAGGGACAAACGTAGCAATAATCTACTTTATAATTCGTCATACATGAAGAAGTGATTCACCTTATAAGAAACGGCTTATAACCCCTCCCATTTCCCTTATCCAAACCTTACCACCTCTCTTTTAACCTCTTACTCCATAAATGCAAACTTAACATTTTCTTTAAGCCTTCTACCTCCGAACCAAGGAGCAAAGGGAGCTGATCGTAGACCAATGTATAGGTTATGGTGGCCAAGTTATGTAGCTAGTGGGCAGGTCACATAGCTGCTCCAGCTGCAGTTGTACCTAGCCGCAAGAAGATGCAAATGACCTGCAAAGAGACACGTAATGACCACAAAGCGATGCAAAACCAGCACAAAGTTTGGCTCCTATGTAAGCGAGGTGCATATCTGTACCCAGGTGCACACTGTCTCAAAATTTGCCCATGCATATCCGCCACATATTTATTATAGAACCTTT